GAAGACCTTTGGTGAGATGGATCGATTCTGTGACTGGAGCGGTGGGAATAAGTGCGTTTGAGATGGCTAGGTTGGCACAGGATAGAACAGCATTTAGAGCTCTTGTACATAGGGTCGCTATGAGTCGCAAGCGACTCGATGGCACATAACAATAACAACAACATACCAAAAGGAATTAGTGGACACAGAAGAGTTTCATGAGACAACATACGAGCAAGGGGCTGTGGTGATGAAGGAAGAAGTTCAAGCTGCTCTGAAAGGTTGGCCAAAAAAAAAAGTACCAGTAATTGACAGCACACCAACTGACATATTTGCTCACTAAGTTGTGTCAAGAAATCTGGAGGACAACCATCTGGCCAATTGACTGGAAGAGATCTATATTTTTCCCAGTCCAAAGAAAGGTGACCTGACAAGAGTGCAGAAATTACCAAACAATATCATTAATATCACATGCAAGCAAGATTTTGCTGAAAATTATCCATTTATAATGTTGTTGTTGTTGTTATTGACTGCCTTCGAGTCAAGCACAACTCATAGTGACCCTATGAACAAAAGGCCTGAAGCCTTCTGTAACTACTGACATTTATCAAAGTTTACAGAGTTTCTGGATGCATGTTGTTTAGGAAGTGGATGCCACTCCTGCTTCCAAACCATTTATAACAGACACCTATAAAAAATGCAAGGGCCATGGTCGGAAAGCCATATCTGATCTTTATCACCTTCACAATGGGGAACTGTCCATGTAAACAGCATCAAGAATACAAAACCAATTCCCATGAGATCAGACATGTCCTCCAAGCTCACATACCTTTTTCTACTCATCTCAACACCTATCTCTTACTGCTTTATTGGTTATAAAATCCAAAATAACAGCTCAAAGAACCACACTGGGGAAGTCAAAAGGTTAAAAACCAGATTAGTAGCAGAACATAGTCAAGACAGTTTCTGAAATGTGCATGCAGGCACCTCAGCCTCAAGCCTCAAAGTGGCCAGTGTCCCCAAGTTCTCAGTCCTGCCAATAGTGGCTTCCCACTTCTAGTTGTCCAACAAAGTTCTCTGTCCTGCCAATATTGGCTCTTCCCACCAAAGGTACCATCTCATGTCAGGTCTCAAGTTTGACATGGCTGTTGCTGCAACAGAAGCAGCGGGAGCAAGAAGGGCACCCGACATTCTCTTGCTTCTTTTTCAATGGTGGGGGAAGATCAGTCTGTCTCTCATTGCTGGCTTGCTCAATTCATAGTGAGACCAGCCCCTGTAAACTATTAAGACTGGTGGTGACACTCCTTGTGGAAAGGCAAAGAGCCATTTCTCTTGTGGGTAGGTTAACTCGCCCTATTTGTATAGTCTGGCCCATCCACAAGGTAAAGTCAAAATCAGATGGCTAGGGAAGTCATACTGAAAGATAAAACTTGACAACACCCGAAAGGGGAAATACTTAGGAACAAACCTAGGCAGAGATGCAAAGGATCTATATAAGGAAAAACTATAAAACCTAACTAGAAGAATGTCTAAAAAGACCTACATAAATGGAAAAATATACCAACCTCATGGATTGGAAGACTTAAAAGTGGGACCATGACAATACTGCCAAAAGCAATCTAAAGATATAATGTGCTTCCAATACATGAGCCCATGAGTATTTTTCAAAGAGATGGAGAAAGTAAAAGAAAAGAGATCCTGGATAAGCAAAGTGATACTGAAAAACAAAGTAGGAGGCTTCACATTTTTCATCTCAAAACCTGCCACACAGCCACAGTAATTAAACAGAACATGTACATGGACCAATGGAACAGAATTGAGGACACAAAAATAAATCCATCCAACAATGGACAACTGGGAGAGCTGGTAGCTTAGAGGTAAGGTGCTGCACTGCTAACCCAAAGGCACATGGTTTGAATCGACCAGTTGCTCCTCTGGAAAAACACAGGCAGTCTCTTCCTGTACTATTTAGTGCCTCTGAAAACCAGCTGGAGGTCAGCTAGGGGTAGGGTCCAACTTAACAACATTAACAACTTAACAATGGACAACTGATATTTAACAGAGAAGAAATCCATTAAGCAGGGGAAATCACCTCCTTAACAAATGGTGCTGGTGAAACTGGCTATCTATTTACAATAGTGTGTGAGCTGATTGGTCACCTGGATTTACTGGATTTAGCTAACAATCAGCTGTGGGCTGGAAGTCTCTTGTTTAAGTCAGTCAGGACTCAGTGGGTGGGCCTTTGTAGGATCACAAGGCCAGTATTAATTGTGTTTGGGAACAACATTCTTCTAAGTGGTTCACTGGTCTGTCAGTTTACTGTACTGAGATAACTTGAGGTTGCTGTGATACTGAATGGTGTGTCAAAGGTCATAATGGTTACTCATAGTGGACAGTGTTTGGCATCTACTTCCTAAACAACATGGCTCTACAAACTCCATGAGCCTTAGAGAAATGACAATAGTTATAGAACAGGGTTCAGATCTTTTGTTTATAGGGGCATTATGAGTCTTACTCAATGGCACTTAATGACAATTTATGGAAAATTGAAACAAGACACTTATCACACTATATGCAAAACTAATTCAAGATGGATCAAAAGATCTAAGCAAAAACATATTATCAAAGAAAAAACTGGGGCAGACTTAGAAGAACAAATGTACAGTATTATCAAATTATAATGTACAGATCATCAAATCCAACCGAAATGCATAAATAGCAGAGGATGAACTAGACAATAGGGATCTCTTTTGTACGTCAATAGACTTCTCCAGTACAGTAGTAAAAGGAGAACCAACAGATTGAGAAAAAAAATATTTGGCAATGACACATATGACAAAGGACTCATCTCTAAAATTTATAGAAAATTCCAATATCTCAACAAGAAAAGGAAAAAAAACCAAGTTACAAAATGAGCAAAAGATTTGGATAGACACTTCATTAAAGCAGATATTCAGATGGCAAACAAACACTAACCTGTGTTACGCAGATGACACAACTCTGCTTGCTTAAAGAGGATATGAAATGCTTGCTATAGAAGACTAAGGACTGCTGTCTTTGGTATGGATTACATCTTGACATTAAAAAAACAAAGATCCTCACCATACGACCAACACTGTGATATATGGAGAAAGGATTGAAGCTGTCAATGTTTTCATCTTGCTTGGATCAACAATCAACTCTTGGTACCAGCCGTAAAGAAATCAGGTGATACACTGCATTGGGCAAGTCCATTGTCAGAGACTTTTCCAAAATGCTGAAGAGTAACGATACCACTTTGAAGACTAAGGTGTGCCTGATTCAGACCATGGTCTTTTCAGTCACCTGCTATGCATCAGAAAGATGGACAATGAATAAGGATCACAGAAGAATTACTGATGCCTTTAGGTTGTGGTGCTGAAGAAGAGTACTGAATATCTCATGGACTGCCAAAAGGAAAAAAAATATGTCTTAGTAAAGTGCAGTGAGAGTACTCCTTAGAAGCAAAGATGTGAAGCTGTGTCTTGACACACACTAGGAAATGACATGTAGCTAGGCGAGGCTATTCCATGGAAAGAGACATCAGCACAGGAGAGAAAGACCTCCGATGAGACGGACTGACATGGTGACCTCAGCAATAAGCTCTTGTATGACAAAGATGATGAGGATGGCACAGGATAGAGCAGGGTTTACGTTGGATATTCATAAGTTTGCTATGCATTGTACTTGACTCAACGACACCTAGCAATAACTAACACACACACATACCACCACCCTGTGAGCTCAGGCCCAACAGCAGCCACTCAATGTGGCTAGAGGGCTAGATGCAGAGTAATCCCAACCCTGCAACCTCCATTTGTTCTTTCATTTAGCAGTACTGACTGCCACTTACCCTTTATGCTAAGGAAGGGATGGTGATTAGGAAAATAGCATATCTTCCTTCATACTGCAGTTGAGGAGATAGATAACAAGCATGCAAACCCAAAATACACAATTACATATGTCAACACTGACATATGACAGGAAGAGTCTCTAAGAGAAGGTAGCACTGATGGCAAGGACACGAAGGGGAAGATTGCTAAGTGCAGCCAGGATTTAGAGGGGCGTCTAAGTTTCTGCTTAGTCTCAAGGGGAGCCAGGGGAAAAGGTGACATGGTGAGCTCATTACCAGGTGCATAGTGTAGAACTTGATGGTATCCTGCTGTGAGTCCCATTCAGTGGCCACTGCAGTGGCCAAGGCCTCATTGGGGACCGTAAAGAGCTTGGCTTGAGGGGTTTTCAGCTTCCTGTGATCCAGGTTTATCTCAAAGCCACCTTAAAAGAGCAAATAATAACTTCTCAGGAACTGTTAAAGTGGAATTGAGGAACTATCACTATATTTAGCCATGTGAACTGCTACAGATACAATTCTGAGTCCTCTCACTGAATGATTTATAGGCATATCTGACAAAACAGTAGGAAGTATCTTATACAGAACTGGATAGATGAAATATCTTCCTAGCCATTTAAACACACAGAAAAACAGAATAAAAATTTCACTCACCTTCACCCTGGGTGATAGTGACATTCTGATAAAAACGTTTTCTTTCTGTAAGAAAGATGTTTCAAAAAGACAATTTAAATAACTGAGTGACACCACTGGAAATGACAAGCCCAACTTATACAGTGCCACCCAAAGGTAATAAAGGAGGTCAGAATTGCTTCCACTGTGGAAAGCTGGGCCACTTCAGTAGACAGTGTCA